TGTCCGATCTCGTTCCCGCCTCGTATCTACGAGCTAATCGAGCCGGGTCGTGACAATTCCCCTCTCTTGCCAACCGAAATTCTATTAAGCCCAAGCCATTATTAACTTTCCAAAACCTGTAGAGTAGAATTAGGAATTAACTCCCTAATTTCTTTCCATAGTCCCGTCAACCCCTTACAGATTTTGAGAAAATCTGTCCACAAATTTTGCTCCCCTTTTTGGAAGGAATTTGGGATCCAACCTGCTGCTGGTCGTGACTCTTAAAGTCCCAACCTAGGTTGTTTCTCTCCCAAATTTCCCTGTGCACCTTCAACTCTCCACTTGAGTTCTAAACCCCAAAACCCTTTATCTCCACTTCCATTCTCTCAAGAAGAAAATCTGAAGTTTCTTTCAGAATTTTGGATCAAAATCTGAAACTGTTTTCAGATTTTTTGGGAAGCGGACTTAGAGCGTTTTTCGTTCTACATCAGCTTTCTAACCATACTCATCCAATCCATCCAACCAACAATACTCATTCCTACTATTTTTCTATGATAAACCCACCATCTGAATGTTATTGTATTCAAGTGAGAGTGCATATCCAGCTATATGAACATCTTGACTACTTATTCATATATAGCACATCACGTAGTACAAGCCTCAAAGCACTACTATAAATAAGGAGTCAAGGCTCCAAGTGTGTGATCATCTTTTATCATATTCTCGCAACCAAAATTTCTCTTTTCAAACCCTTCTTTTGATATCATTTCAGATCTTTCTACTTCATGGAAATTCACTTATATTTTCTACTTCCAAAGAGCTTTTTCTGACTCACATCCTTTTTCCTAAGACCTTAGGAACACCTATAATTCCCGAGAACCTCAGGTTAAAGTTCGAAAGAAGCCCCTTTAAGATCTTTCCTGTTGAAGTTCACACCTTAAACTTCAGAAGAGGATCAAGCCTTTTTTTCAATCTTTCTGAAAATAGATTTATAGGATATCAATGAATAGCACCGAAAATTCTAAGTCATAGATTACAAGCATTCAACACCAAGTTAGGAAACTATATTGTTCAATGAAAGTCCTATCACGGCTCCTTCAAACACAATTCTTATCGCCTAGACTATCTAGCAGGTAAATGTAGGGTCAAAACAATTCCCATCGAACAAGTCCAAAATGGATCCAATTCCAAAAGTAGCATTAGCCAAGATTTATAAGTAACCATGGCTAAGCAAAGGAAAGAAAATTTCACATCTGTATTAATGGAAAAACATCACTTTACATTAATCAAATTCATAACTACTAATCTAAGACCTCATAAATATTATAGCACCCATCTCAAAGTTCAATTCTCTCTTTCTGCATATCTAAGCATCAATTAAAATACACATGGGACACACAAGTTGATTGTATTAAAAAATGCAAATAATAGGATAGTTGTATGAAAAAAATTAAGAAGAAAGCAAAAATAGTGCGATTAAATTATAAAGGCTTTCAAGAGAGTACTTGCTTTCAAAACATTTAAGAAAATATATTATAGTTGTTTCAGCACATAAAGAGGAGATCAGAAGATGTGCCTATATGTCAACAGAATAATTTAATCTATAAGAAACAGGAATATATGTGGTAAAAAAAAGTGGATAGTTGTTGAGCAAAAAGAATCTAGTACGTGAGATCATTATATGTGACTCTTGATAGAATGAATGGTGAAGAAGGATACATAAGGATTACAACAAATACCTTAGATAAGACTTATAATGATGACAATCTAATGTGGAGCCCTCCACCTACAAATTCCTCCAACAACTATTCAATTCTTTCTATTCCTCTAATTCTTTTCCAACAGCAGATTCAATTGCTTGTTTGATGTTTCTATGGTTCATCTTCTTCAACAAGTCCAGTGGCTTATTTCGTGTGGTTCTCCTTCCCCAACAACTTTTTAGTGGCTTCTCCTTACCGCCTCTGCATTCTATTTTGATATTACTGGCAACGTGATTGCAATATTGCAATCCTGGTCTTTCACTCTTTTGGGATTGCACCATTTTTTTCTAAGTAAAGCATATGATTTCTTTTACTGGTTCGATCAATGGATGGAGAATTAAAGAAATATTTTATAATTATAAATAGCGAACTGAAGCATGTACAAAAGAAAAGCAATTTTGTTGGGAGCAAAATTCTAGTTGCATGTGATATTCCTTTTACTTTCAGCAATCAACTCATTATAAGTAATAGACTTGAAGATATCAGAAAGTATATTTCATTTGCACAACCATGAGATGTATTCCTTCTTTTGATGACTTGTTTATTTTTACAGTTTGTTATTCTAAATTTTATTATTGAGCTGAACCCACATAGTGAGATAAAAACTAGATATTGTTGCCCTAAATCTTATTATTGAATTGAACTTGTAAGTGATTTTACTCAAATTTGATGTATCTCATTTTCAATTAGGGAATGTATTGCAATACTAAGTGTGACTTTCTTAGTTTTAAATTTTTATTCATTATTTTTAGTAGAAGTTCATTTAATTTTCATCTGATCGACTTTCATCATAAGTGACGAATAATTGTTTAAAATTAAAAGTTTGTCAAATTCAAAATTTTGTGCACATGTTGCATGATTTCTTTTCCATCTCCTATTGGATTTGCATTAAAAACCTAGACTCAAATGTCCTACATCATGACCATACTTAAGATGAAAAAACAATAAATAGCTAACCACAGCTGGATAAAGAACATCGAGTAAAGGACTACTTATGCCTCTCATTAAAACGCTTACATTTGTCCAACCAAAGCAACATCTCTCTAGCTTTCCATGATCCATCACTGATGGCTCAACTTTTTAAATGTCAACCCATAAATAAAAAGCTAAAAGTAAACTGAAGTATACTATTTCAGCGAAGAAATCAACTTTTTGGTTTAAAACTGATTTACGTGTCAAAGAAACAACTAAAGGTACCATCACTTAGAGGCCCAAGAATTTGAATTATTAACATGGATAACCTTTTTATTGACAGGTGCTAATTAGCGCTAGCAGTATTTTTTTCCAGCATATTGATTTTTCTGCTGACCCCACGTAGTGGGATAAAGGCTTGATGTTGTTGTATTGATCTCATATAACCTTTCCATACATTCAAAGTTTTGTACTTGTTTAAGAGACGTGAGAGTGTACAAAGTTACAAGCAAGATCGTTAACTTAAAACTACGTGAATCAACTTTAGGTTGCCTTTTGCAATAAATACAAACCAATCTAAACTGTTCCAAAACAGAAATGTCCTTAATGTTTCCTTAAAATCAGTAGCATTTCCAATTAACTAAAAACTCCCATTCTAGGAGAAATACTATCCCTAAAGGCCTAAATCCGAATCCCAAGCTAATAATGTAAGAAAAAGGCATACGTGACTAATTTGAAATTCTACATGCATACGTACAATGCTACATTGGCCAATGGCTTCTTCATATCGTGTCAACTTAATCAAGCAAGCAGCCATATTGAGATGGCAAGGGTTTTTCACCGCCAAAGCCATGTCCCTGAATTTTCCAAACAACTGGAACATAAAGTCATCCCCCATATATGCTATGGCCTAACATCAAAAGAAGCTCAGTCATTAATTGCAAAAAAAGTTATAGTTGAAACCAATCAACAGGCAAAAATATATGAAACTGGAGGATTCTAAGTTCTTACCATTTCATACTGTTGCATCGCCTCTTCCAACTTTTCTTCCTTGAACAAAGCATTGCCATCCATCTTTCTCCTATCAGCTGCTCCAATCCTTTCTTCAACTGTCATGTCACTTCTAGCTTTGCCCTAATCATTAAAAATCAATTGAAATTATGCTTAGATATTTTAAGTCCAAGTTCATCAAAATGCACATGACAATGACTATAGCAGGAGATATCAACAGGCAACTCTCAGTCAAAAAGTAGGGACCTACTTCTTTAACTTCATCAAACCCAATAAGCTCAACTTCATACAGCAGGTCTGCTAACGGAGGCACATTTGGGAAAGAAAAGCTTCCTTCTTCCCCATAACCTAGTTCCCAGCCAACACGCAACAAAGCACGTTCCCCACTCCTCATACTTGCAGCTCCAATACCTAATCCTGCCATTTGCTTTTTCTCTGCATAATCAAGAAGTGAGAAAGCTTAAGTAATAGTACCAATAGTTTTTTCTAACAAATGAGAATAGAACGAAGCAATAGCAGAATAGCATTTCTTAAATTGCTGTACTTGCACCTCTTAATAAAGATTGCAAACAAAATGAACAAAACTGCTAAAATTTTCAGGTGTCAATATGGAGAAAAGAAAATTGCTTCTTGGACATAGAGAGGTGTTGTCATTCAGGTCTTATTGCTTTAACTTGTTTGCCTTTAACATGCCTTCTTCCATATTAAAAGGAAAATGAATTATGAACAATAAAATAAAAAGACGACAGAATATTTTCAAGTTCCCATGAAATTTTGAAAACAACGGCAAGTCTCCCTGTGGAATGTTGCCAAAGTGCAGTTAAAAGTAGATTAACAACAGTTTTTACTTCAGATGTTTTCAATTTTCTGGAGCTTCTTTTTCGAGAAAGTTGATAAAAGAATAAGGGAGAGAACAAGATCACCCAGAGAGAATATTATTAGTTAGGGTAAAAGGAAACTGAATTACAATATGAGCAGAGACATATTGCTGGTGATTTCTTCTAGAGGGATGGTTGACAGTCGATATAGAAGTGCTAATTAAAACCCACGAGCACCTGAATGAGAAGCTGTTAAAGGGCGCGCCAGAAGTTCAGATGAGGACATATAAGGCCACGGTGTCTCGCGCACCTCCCAAACGGACAATGTTGCTAAGGCATGCTAATGCTAGTACCTTGGAAAAAGGTACTAGGAAGTTAGGTGAGTGACTTCACTTGATTTGGGAGATATGTGCTAATACTTAAAGTTTTGAAGGTGAATTAATTTTCTTGGATGATGCCTTGACGTTGGTCGATGCCAAAGGTATATCTAAAGTTAAACTGTTGGATATATAAACATCCACCCTTAAAAAAATTTAATCAAATTAGGTGCATGAACAGTTCTAGACTAATAAATATTGAAGATGATGAGCTGAGCCTAAAAAATTGATGAAGTGATGGATTACGATAAATCTAGTGTTGGAGAAAAGAGCATGATTATATAAAAAATATACTAGATAGTAGCAAAGAGTAGATATTCCCTTAAAACATTTATAGAAAAATAAGAAATTCTATTACATTTGTTTAAAATAAACTTTTAGTAAGATTTTTGAAACTTGGAACCTGAACAAAAGAAATAATTATTAATTCGCCAAGTACCCAAAACAATTTAATGTTATGGTCATCATCTTATACTCTTCAAATGAATTCGACATGATTAAATTAAATTAAATTTATAAGCAATATAAATACATATTTTTAATGCACCATTTCACTCGGGCAAGCCTTCGGACATCCATCACTTGGAGTGCTCCCAGCGCTTTTAAAAATATTGGAGAAAGAGAAAAGGACAATATTAAATTGCTTTTTGTCAGATTACAATTTATGAATATTAGGGCAATGATGGAGAGAATAATCATTGCAAATCAGGATCCCACTTCGCATTCATTTAAGCAATAAAAGCATTACATAGAAGATACAGACATACCTTTTCCTATGATAAGTTCAATTGGTCTCTGCTCCTGCCATGTATCTTCAAATTTGTGCAACGTTTTCTCCACCCATGCCCTATAGTGCACTGCCACATCACAAAACTCTACTCCAATGTAACAGACAATATGAGATAAAAACTGCCGACTATACTAAAAGCCATACAAAGATATTCTCAGTAATCTTATGATAGTGTGAAATAATTTTTTTTTTGGATAGAGCCAAACCAATGAAAAAAAGTGCTTTAGAGTAGAACGGAACTGATCTTCTGTAAACAGTACTGTGAGAATTTATTCTCTAGGCGATTCAGCATAACAAGATTTTCTTATTAATTGCAAAAAAAAAAAAAGAATTGGAAATTATAAAAAGCCAATTATATAGCACTTACAGAAGCAAGTGGCAAACTTTGTTGGTGTTTGTCCACGACCCTCTTTTATGATCTGTTTAGTCACTTTCTCATGAAGGATCTCCTTCTCAGAGTCAATCTTGGGTGGACCTGAGTCATCCTGGGAGGGTTCAGCGTGTGCAAATGCTGTACTTTCTGTAGTAATGTCATCTATTTCATCAGGTCCTACAAAAGAGAGTGAATCTCAATATCAATATTAGTGGGGCCAGTCTGCTCATCACATGTAGTACCACCTCATGTAAATCGTCTCAAGTAAAATATGAAGTAATTCCTGTTTTAAAGGCCAATAAAAGCAAAGTGATTTCTTTTAAGGTTGTATTAAGAATTATGCAAATGAGATTTAACTAAAAAGTAAATTAGTTTAGACTTGTTATGTGATTTACTTCTAATTATGCTATTATATTAACAATTACTTTTTAAAGAGATCTGAAATATACCAATTGAAACTAAACTTTTGAAAATATAGGCATAGACCTATGTTATATGGTTGAAATTATGACCACATCAGTCACTTTTTTTTTTCTTTTTTTTATAATTTATTATTAATTATAAACAACCACATCAGTCACTTGTATAACTATCATTGAGCTCTATTAAATCTTAAATCTAGTTTAAGATTCACAATGAAAATCATTAGACAAGCTTGAGGAAGAATCTGAAGCTCTATTCATGTTTAAGTCAATAAAAAAACTTGAGCATGGCAATACAAGACTTGTTAAGTCTTAACTGCATCTTGGTATGGCACCATTAGGAATACCATTTATTGTTGGGATTGCAAAAATCAATGTTTATAAAACAGAAATTTTGACAACAATTTTGAATCTCAAAAGCATTTCATATAATTAACCGACTACTTCCAAAAGTTATTATGAAGATTGAATGGGCTTCAAATTATACAAATTTGTAGCTGAAATGATTACCTCATTGCGACAATTCTAATGACACAAAAAAGTATAATTTAGAAAGCATTTGGATCATTAAATGACTGAGTCAAAAGCGAATTTAAATAGATTGTTCAAAGGGAGGTTGGCAGCACATCCACCCTCAACAATCTCCATGGTCTTGTACGGTGCTCAACCTAGGCAAAGGCAGTTTCCCACCACCGCTCTAGCGTACTAGGCGGCAGCAATGGCCCTTGGCTTCCTCTCCCTCTCTCCACAGGCAGCATAATCTTAGACTCACATTGCTTAAGAAATATTTGGATTTATGTGATTTGTCACTTTAATTTAGATTTCTTGAGATTCCCACAACCTCTATATGCCCCAATTCATAAATATTTTACAGAGTTGGATTGATTTAATGAAGATAATCATGTAAAAAAAAAACTGGCTTGTTTTCATTGTTTTACAACAATCTCAAATTTGCTCCCTATGACTTCTAGGAATTATTTCAGTCGATTTGACCATCAAAATTTCTATCCATCAATTATTTTGGACTCATGGCATCAAATGTTTCAAAACAATACATGTTGCAAGTAGATTAGAGATATCTCTAGCAGTGGTCACCATTGAACCGCCATCAATAGCTTGAGATTGGGCAGGTTCATCGGGCCAGGTGACAGCCAATATCATTCAATCGCTTTCCAAATCAACTTATGTTAGTAGTCTTTTGTTTGCCCCCAGCGCTCTCTCTAATTTTGTGGTTCTGCCAGTGGCTATAGTTAATATTAGATATTGCTAATAGTGTTGATAGTGCACTTTGACAGTGTTGAGCGGATGCTACACTTGAAAACCAATAGTTTAATACATTACTACAAATTGATAGTGCTAATGCAACTTCTAAAAGTTAATTCCAAAGCAAATATAGCAGCAAGACTCTTTGTTGCATCACCCCATAAATCAATTCTTAGTTTAAAACCATTAAGAAAAAACACCAGATTTTGTTCGGGCCACATGAAAGAGCATATTTAAAACTTCAAATTGCAACGCCTAAGTATACGAAATCTAAGGTTATAAATCGAGAAAATAATGAAAAGGATCTACATGTACGACAGACATCAATGCGCCATGATGCGAGTGGGATGAAAAAACGTCGATATCTTCCTGCAAAAAAAAAAAAAAAAAAAAAAGGGGGATCTAAAAAAAAAAAAAAGAAGATGCGGATCGCCAAATTTGGAACATTGATATTGCAATCGGTCTCTTATGCCCACCCATATAATATAATTCCCCCCGTTTGACCCAATTGATAGAACCGATACAAGTTCACACACTAGAAAGCTTGTAGGGAGTAAAAACAAGGTAAAGAGGAGTGAGGAAGGTGGAGACTCACCGATGCCGCGGCCTATAGTGGGCGGAGTAGTGTCAGTGGTTACAGCATCTTCTTCTTCTAGCGGCTGCGGAGGTGGCGATATTGGCTTTTCCATTTCCGGTGGCGGTGCTCTCTGCAACCTTCAATGGAAGGAT